CGTTCATTTCAAATTTGTATTGTTGAAAACTAAATGTCGCCACCACATTTATAACTTCGAAATAACAGCTGAAATCTAAATGGTGTTTACTTACCGCCAATTCATCAATTGAAATTACACTAAAATATTAGAAATTCTCTTGGCCATCATTACCCACGAACCTTGAAATTATGACACGTATTGAATCAGAACTCCTAAGATACTGACAGAAAAATCATCTAAATCAAACTAACGCTGCAAAATTGTTTTCAAGAACATGGCGATTGTTTAGTTGAATCTGTGTTTAGATGACTATTTGAATTTAACACTATGTAGAATAGAATTATGAGTGTAGTAATACTTGTTTCCATTTAATATCAGTCAGAATCACCAGACAGGAACCAGAATCACAGGAAGCCCGGGAATTATAATAAATTTACGCCTGTTGTGGGAAGTTTAGGTTTATATTTAGTGTTTCAAATCTACTAATATCGGTAAATCAAGGGGTTGTACAAATTTTAAAAAGAAAATCTCTGTTTTTTCCTGTTTAAGAAGTGTGGGGTCGCTGGAGCCATTATCCCTTGTTCAATGATCGATACCAGCAGATACCCCTATCGGGGTACAGTTTATTATAGTACCATGATTCCCTCTGTCATAACAGGTTGTATTAATTTGTTTTCAGTTTACTCTGTATACTAAATACATGGTACTTCAAAAGTGCATTTTTATTTGGGTGAGGCAGTCTCAGGACTGGCATGCAGCCTGAGTGAGGCTGGCTGCCATTTACTGGCTGCGACCTGGTTGTACAAATGATGGCTTCGCGTTAAAAATGTTTTGAACATAGAACAGAGTGCATATCGGCGTGATACCAGTTACGATACAACGGTCATGTCATCATTTCTATATTGACTATATTGACTATACTGAAAATGTCACGTGATACATCGTCTGAGCTTCCGTAGTAGGTTAAAAAACACGCGTTTTGCAGGAGTATTTTGAAGGGAAAACGTTTATCGGCACTTCACTCGAAACATATGCGTACCGTGCATATTCGTGATATATATTCTTTGAATATCAACTGTTAAGTTCTAGTTTACGTTATCTCAGACATTTCCCCAAGCCTGTAGTTTATTTTGTAAGCGAACACATCCACATTGGCGCATAGTATCCGAGTAGTATCGCCCGTCAATTGGTCAAACACGCTTTCAGGCGTTCGTAAATTATATATCCGTAATCGATGTTCTGGGCTTTCTGCAATATTTTTACGAACAATCGCTTTTAATGACAATTGTACTCTTCGGAAGCGTTTCCGTGCTGGCCGCGTAGCAAGATCCCTCAATCTGTAATTGCTAAAATGCTTCAATCAAGAAAGCCTTAGAACTAGTACATTGTAATGTCATTGAATGCCTGCAGTACTCAGATGAAATAAGGAATTCCTTAAAACAAACATGTCCACTGTAATCAAATTGAAAAAAAACAATGATTTACGAGATACACGTCACTGTATAGTCACTTGCTACAATACAAACTAGGATGTAGCCTCAAGGTGTAATTTACTTTTGATAACCGTACAACAACAAGTGGCTCATAAATACCGTCCGCTATGTATACATGAAGAGTTGAACAACATCTACGGAGTTAGTAATGTATTTGGCACATTTTGAATAAACTTTTTTTTGTTTTACTTTTCAAAGGGTGCACATACATCTATTAGGCAGAAATTTGTTTTCATTGAACTCTTTTTGTCGTTGACTACATGTTGTTATGTATTTATTCACATATCTGCGAAAATATACACGATTAATGGGGGTTTCGAATAAGTATATTTCTGTATAAGTTTACCAGACATAACTTTTGACTAATCATTGAAAATATCGGCTTCAATAATAGGTATATGTCAACTGTGGCACAAAGAGAGTGATTACTTCTAGGACAATCAAAAAGAGATCTATTTGAGAATGTTTCAATATTTTTCAATTGTTTTAATTAATCTATTTTTTTTATTTTATTAAACAGCAGCAAATACAAACTTATGTCAATGCTGTTTTTATTATCGTAAACCAGTAACTGCAATATTTGATAAAAATGTTCAAAAGCCAAAATTTATTTCACGAATCACATAAATGCTCAATAATTTGCGATATTCTGAATGTATGTCACTGTGTAAGGTCTGCTTATTAATACTGAGAGAGGCATCCACAGAACTCACATAGGACAGACAGTTCTTTCACTGCTAGAATGGGATAGACAAGACAATAGTGGAAATAAAATACATATACACCAAAATATCCAAGCTCCTTGCTTTAATACCTCTCAAAATAATTACAAGAAACAAAGTACAGAATAATACAATGAACAAAGTCACTAAAATAGGGGATTGCTTAGGGAAGTGTGCATTGGTGATAACTCTCAGTTCCAGGATGTGAATATTGATGACAGTCAATGGCTTCTGCAACACAACAACGAAGAGATACAGGAGTCTTGCTTACAGATGAACGTTGTTATGTTATTATGGAGGGTGCCGCTAATAGCAGGAGATCGCAGAGCAGTTCATACAAGTCTCACAGAATGATGATTGAAGCCATTTGAATAGTGGTCTCCAACTGTCATCAGTCTAGCCTAGTTATAGTGCATATATGGCCCAGTCTCAGGTACACCATCTGGGTTTCCACATGAGCCAATCAGAATGTGGTCTTGCTAGCAGCTGTCCTTTCAGAGTTGTAAACAAGTATGACCTATCAATCACCTTTATGACAGTTATCAGACGGCAATGCACACCGTTTCCTCCCACAATTCCATGCACCACTCTATTTGCAGGGTGTTAGGTAGTATAAAAAACCTAGAGTAAAGAATGCTGACAATGTATATACGTCATGTGTCGTTAATGTCATGTCAGCTCGTTTTTAATACATATTACCATATGATTTGTTTATTCTTGACTTTGGATATTTTTTGAAAAGAAAGGAAATATTCATTGTATAGTCAATATGCATAGATGCCAGTCATCAGTTTTTTCAGTATTAATCGTCCATTTACAGTATAACTGTCGTATACTACAAATCATTCAAAATTATTTAATTTTTTCAATCAACTACACAGAACAGATTTATTTCCACATCCTAAATATATTTTTCTAGACATAGTTTATGACTGCTATGACAAAATGATATTAAGTTCAATTCAAACTCGTTCAAATATAGTCTATTTTCTTATATATCGCAATCATAGTAATGTGTCAGCTGTCATACTGTATATAATATCTTTGTGTACCTTCCAAACATAGTTGAATTGAACAGTTGGAATTGATGTGGTCTAAAATATGATTGTAAATACACGTAATTGACAAACTTGAATAATGAGATCACTGGAACAACAGCAATATGTTGACAGAAATTTACAATACCCAAACTAATGTCCTTCAGCCATATGATGTGAATTGGCTTGATTGTAATAAGCAGCAGATGATCACTAGGACAGTTCTAATGAATGATGGTTTATTGTAATTACTGAATCAACTTGACCCTTAGGTGAATCTAAAATAAAATTAGCTGATATAACAGTCATAAATCACGTGTAAGTGATAGTTTGTAATTTGTAATTTTATCTGCCACCCACAGGTAATCATGCATAGTTATACTGTGACGCTGATTAAATAAACATATGGAATGCTGTGCGATAGCTTCCGGTGTAATATATAGAGGATATTATTAGATTTACTATTTTGTATGGAACTATCATCGAGTGGAAATGTTTTCAACGCCGTTGCAATTCTGCTAATTGTATTCGTTTCCACTGCATAGCTTGAAACACAACCAGCACAAATTATTAGTTAATCAAAGAATTATAGATACATTTTATGTTTTCCTGGTCTAAACACAAGCATACTGAATTATCATGTTGGCGTTCTCTATATTGACACTGCACAGTAGAGTGCTTGAAATGCAATCAATATAACGTGATAAAAACATCACTTTTAGTGTATTCTGTTATAATTACTAGTCGTACTATGTTTGAAATTGGTGGTCGATGACTTCTTCTGACGCAACGCCGAAATATGCCCAGTGCATACTATAACATGTGTTGTGGGTAACTCACATTATCACTATATAATAGGTAACATGAATTACAACAAGCATTCTTCCAGATGAATATCGTGAGATATTGAGAACTCATTCATGACTGTGTAAACAGTTGATATTGCACATCTAAGATTATATTTTGTTTTTTCAGTTTCCAGTTAAAAAATTCGGGATTATGTATGATTGACCACCATTCTTGCACATAAATGATTGTTATATTCAATGCGCTCAGGTGTGTACTAAATTTGTGCAGTTATTCACAATAACCAAAAAAAGTATCCAAGTTTTTGTTCAATCAGCGACTAACATTATTGCATGTCTAATGAATTATAATCTGCCAGGCAGTTGCAAAAATATGGTAAGTATAATTGTATCAGATTTCGTAATAACATTATGAAAGCAGACATTAACATTACACTAGAAGCAGATTACGGTAGGGAAAGTGATGATATGACATATATTTCACACCTGGCATGCTTAAGGGAGCATTGCGTATGTATTAATTATGATATTGTCATTGAGTGATTAATATATAACAATATGTTTCACACACCTATTCACTAATCTGTGCCTCTAATACGAAAAATATTATTTTCATTACAAACTGCCTATATGCGCAATTACGATTCAATATTTATGTATTTGCCTGTTACATATTTCAATAGTTGGTAATAATATATAATATACGATGCAATATGCCTATATGCTAATTTATTAAGAATCACATTGGTTCGGCAGCGTGTCTTTTTCAAAGAATTATTTGCAATCATTTAGTCGATCATAGTCAATTATTCGAAAGGCATTATGCCGTGCAAAAAAATGGCATCATGGGAAATTGAGTCAGTGTAGTGTAGTCCAGAATTAATAGTTCCCACCCATCGATTTCGCAGTGTGTTTAAAGAGCTTGGAGAGTGCGGAAGTAAAGCTAACCGTTATCGCATCATGGCATCTTCGTACTCATTTTACGGTGATCGTTACAGCGACGGCGCGTTGCAATTCAGTCAACCGATACCTCATCCATGCAAAACTAAAACTCGCAATACAATAGCGTTGTCTTCGTTCTCAGACGGACGATTTCGCAGCAAAGTGAATTCCATTAAGGAGGATGAAGAAAAAAAAGTACAATTACAGAAGGATCCCCCGACAGCAACATCAAAAGGGGATGTAAATGCTTGTGGAGATTGTTGCTGCTGTAGAGTATTTTATTCTGACCGATTCAGAGAATTCTCGTCCGACACCACCTTGCATGGATTGCGTTACGCAGTTGCCGAAGGTGTGGAACCATGGAGGAGGTAGGTTAGATGTTTTAATAATACTGTAACCCTGGCAACACGTATTTACATATAAACATATCCAAGATCACAAGACTATTCAGTATTCAGTTTGCACGCTATCTGAATGATTGTGGTATGTACTAGTAACGCCTTAAAACCACGTGAAATAATGTTTTTCTATAGATTCCAAATGATTTATAGCAAAAATAATTGGCAAAGTGCCATGAGCTACATCGAACAAGATAATGATATTTAGCTGCCAACCATTGGTTGATTCTCCGAATCGTAAATGTTAACACTGTTGCGTTTTTTGTTCAAATACACACACATGCTGTACGTACAGTACGTTACAATTAAATAACAAATAATTCGTTCAGAGTAAATCAAATAATATAACTATGAACGTGGGAGTGTGGTATGAAGATTCATTTTCGTCCAATCAGTACACCACTAAAACTAATTGCTACCTCGTACCCGAGGGATCGTGGACTGTGGGTCTCATTTCTCAGCATGTCATTACACTAGTAACTGTCACATGAAGTGGCAATAAGAGAGGATCGAGCAGTTATAGGTCAGCTAACACATATATACGCGTCTTCTAGATTACAAGCTGCAAATAAATGTAACTAAAGAACAAGAAATACTCGGCAGGTAAAAATGTAATGTGTGTGTGACTCGAGTCTTTTACTCGGCCACCGAATAATCCCGACAGAAGGGTGCGAGCATATTGCGCACAGATACCAAAGTTTTCACCATGCCGTGAATTATGTGTTATCACTTGCATTACATCCTGTGGTAACAGCTACTGTGTGTTAACATAATGTTTTTGCTTAAAGATAAATCATTCACAATGATGTGCACAGAATTTTACACATATATGCAAATATAATAGAGAATACATTAATAAATATATGATATATGTAAACACATATTAAATAGTGAGGACCGAAAGGTTGTTATTGTGTAACAAGAAAACAAATCTATACCCAGTATTCAATATATGTATGTATGTGAACTCTGTACTCGATGTGGGTTTAATATTATATTGGTTACAATGGGGCAGCGCAAGTAGAATCCAAATTTAGTATTACGACCATGTGACATATAGTGAACGTATAGACGCGATTATTTGGGACTGACCTGTGAAATTTACGGTTATAGTTTGGACTGACTTGTGAAATTTACGGTTACAGTTTGGACTGACATGTGAAATTTACGGTTACAGTTTGAACTGACCTGTGTAATTTACTGTAACAGTTTGAGTGACCTGTGAAATTTAGGTTACAGTTCGGACTGACCTGTGGAATTTACTGTTACAGTTTGAGTGACCTGTGAAATGTACGGTTACAGTTTGGACTGACCTGTGGAATTTACTGTTACAGTTTGAGTGACCTGTGAAATTTACGGTTATAGTTTGGACTGACCTGTGGAATTTACTGTTACAGTTTGAGTGACCTGTGAAATTTACGGTTACAGTTTAGACTGACCTGTGGAATTTACTGTTACAGTTTGAGTGACCTGTGAAATTTACGGTTACAGTTTAGACTGACATGTGAAATTTACGGTTACAGTTTGGACTGACATGTGAAATTTACTGTTACAGTTTGAGTGACCTGTGAAATTTACGGTTACAGTTTGAACTGACCTATGGAATTTACTGTTACAGTTTGAGTGACCTGTGAAATTTACGGTTACAATTTAGACTGACCTGTGGAATTTACTGTTACAGTTTGAGTGACCTGTGAAATTTACGGTTACAATTTGGACTGACCTGTGGAATTTACTGTTACAGTTTGAGTGACCTGTGAAATTTACGGTTACAGTTTAGACTGACCTGTGGAATTTACTGTTACAGTTTGAGTGACCTGTGAAATTTACGGTTACAATTTGGACTGACCTGTGGAATTTACTGTTACAGTTTGAGTGACCTGTGAAATTTACGGTTACAGTTTGGACTAACCTGTGAAATATACGGTTACAGTTTGGACTGACCTGTGGAATTTACTGTTACATTTTGAGTGACCTGTGAAATTTACGGTTACAGTTTGGACTGACCTATGGAATTTACTGTTACAGTTTGAGTGACCTGTGGAATTTACGCCATATGTCGATATGACGTGTCGATATGACGTGTCGATATGACGTGTCGATATGACCGATGGGAACTAGAGAGATTAAAGTACATTCTACAAAACTGTTGTCATATATTGCTCCATCCATCACATGACTTTATTATGCAACTTGCTAGAAATTCAAGTTCTACTAAATTATCCTACACAAAATACGAGCTCTACCGAAGAGCGATGCCTGTCATAGTGCAGCATATCGCCATATATTTGCACATTATGTCTTAGGGCATGTCTCGTTGTCAACGATCACGGTGTAAATCAAACGCTCTATATGCAATCCCACACTCATATCTATATTCGGCTATGACGTATATCATAATAACGGAAATGAAACAATGTTGCATAGTGCCCAATTACGTGTTCATTTCACTGTTTTAATTAGCTTATTATTTGAAGGGTTTGTGAATTTTTTTCATTGTATCATATAAAGTTGATTTATGTATTATTCACATGTAGTGTTCCATTCCATATTTTCTAGCGTTCACTGTTTCACTAATCATGTTAACCACAATATTTAGAACAGTGCACGCAATGGCAATAGATAATGGATACTATTTGGGTCACGTGATTTTCTCGCTCTCAACGAGATTTTGACGGTCATTTGCGAATAAATTAATTAATCATTAACATATACTATTTTAATTGAAACCGTTGGTCTACAAAATTCTGATTCTGATTCATATTTGCATAGTAATAGTCATTAAAGGTTTGTGGAGTCGTCAGTGCTCTTGAACTCTTGAAAACAAATCGGCTCCATAGAACAGAGTAGCCGACATGCGACATTAATCACGTGTTAATGGCACAATGAAATGATGTTTACAGTCTACAGTCAGTATATATATATGCGGTCGTTTATCATGTCAGTATACATGTGTCCCACAGGAGCTATCCGCCACTGCCGCTCTCTGAAATTAATGTATGACCCTGCACAGTATATGTCATCGGTGATTATTTGTAGTTGAGAGATATTTTACTTTTATCGGATAAATTGTTTGAAAGGACATAAGCCGCCGATTTACGATTTACATTGAATTTACGATTTACATTGAACAATTGAATGGACGCTTCGAACGATGTGAAAGTATGGACGTCTAAAACAATGTGAAAGTAAGTACCGATAAAACAATATGAAAGTACGTTTGCCAAGAACAATGGAAAAGTAAATACGGATAAAACAATGTGAAAGTACGTTTGCCAAGAACAATGGAAAAGTAAGTACGGATAAAACAATATGAAAGTACGTTTGCCAAGAACAATGGAAAAGTAAATACGGATAAAACAATGTGAAAGTACGTTTGCCAAGAACAATGGAAAAGTAAATACGGATAAAACAATGTGAAAGTACGTTTGCCAAGAACAATGGAAAAGTAAGTACGGATAAAACAATATGAAAGTACGTTTGCCAAAAACAATGGGAAAATAAGTACGGATAAAATAATCTTAAAGTGCGTTTGCCAAGAACAATGTGAAATTAAGTACAGATAAAACAATGTGAAAGTACGTTTGCCAAAAACAATGGGAAAATAAGTACGGATAAAACATTGTGAAAGTATGGACGCCTAAAACTGTGTGGATGTATGAACACTTAGAAAACATCAATGTATGGATACTTTGATCAATGTGAATGTATGGACGCCTAAAGCAATGTGAATATATGGATGCCTAGAACAGTGTGAATTTATGGATGCCTAAAACTATGTAAATGTATGGATGCCTAGAACAATGTGAATATATGGACGCCTAGAACAATGTGAATGTATGGATGCCTAGAACAATGTGAATGTATGGACGCCTAAAACTGTGTGAATGTATGAACACCTAAAACAACGTGAAAATATGGACACCTAGAACATATTAATGTATGGATACTTTGAACAATGTGAAAGTATAGACACCTTGAACAATGTGAAAGTATGGATGCCTAGAACAATGTGAAAGTATGGATGCCTAGAACAATGTGAATGTATTGACATCTTGGACAATGTGAAAGTACGGATGCCTAGAACAATGTGAAAGTATGGATGCCTAGAACAATGTGAAAGTATGGATGCCTAGAACAATGTGAAAGTATGGATGCCTAGAGCAATGTGAATGTATGGACGCCTAGAACAATGTGAATGTATGGACGCCTAGAAAATATCAATGTATGGACACTTTGAACAATGTGAAAGTATAGACGCCTAGAACAATGTGAAAGTATGGACGCCTAAAATTGTGTGAAAGTATGGATGCCTAAAACTGTGTGAATGTATGAACACATAAAGCAACGTGAATGTATGGACGCCTAGAACAATGTGAATGTATGAATGCCTAGAACAATGTGAATGTATGGATGCCCAAAACTATGTGAATGTATGTACGCCTGGAAAATATCAACGTATGGATACTTTGAACAATATGCAAGCATAGACACCTTGAGCAATGTGAATGTATGGATGGCTAGAACAATATGAATGTATGGACGCCTAGAAATATGTGAATATATGTACGCCTAGAGCAATGTGAAAGTATGGATGCCTAGAACAATATGAATGTATGGACGCCTAGAACAATGTGAATGTATGGACCCCTAGAAAATATCAATGTATGGATACTTTGAATAATGTGAAAGTATAGACACCTTGATCAATGTGAATGTATGGACGCCTAGAACGACGTAAAAATATGGACGCCTAAAACTGTGTGAAAGTATGGACACCTAAAACGACGTGAAAGTATGGACGTCTAGAATATATCAATGTATGGATACTTTGAACAATGTGAAAGCATAGACGCCTAGAGCTATGTGAAAGTATTAACGCCTAAAACTGTGTGAATTTATGAACACCTAAAACAACGTGAAAGTATGGACACCTAGAACATATTAATGTATGGATACTATGAACAATGTGAAAATATAGACACCTTGAACAATGTGAAATGATGGATGCCTAGACAATGTGAAAGTATAGACACCTTGAACAATGTGAAAGTATAGACACCTTGAACAATGTGAAAGTATGGATGTCTAGAACAATGTGAAAGTATAGACATCTTGAACAATGTGAAAGTATGGATGCCTAGAACAATGTGAATGTATGGACATCTTGAACAATGTGAAAGTATGGATGCCTAGAACAATGTGAATGTATGGACATCTTGAACAATGTGAAAGTATGGATGCCTAGAACAATGTGAAAGTATAGACATCTTGAACAATGTGAAAGTATGGATGCCTAGAACAATGTGAATGTATGGACATCTTGAACAATGTGAAAGTATGGATGCCTAGAACAATGTGAAAGTATAGACATCTTGAACAATGTGAAAGTATAGACACCTTGAACAATGTGAAAGTATAGACACCTTGAACAATGTGAAAGTATGGATGCCTAGAACAATGTGAAAGTATGGATGTCTAGAACAATGTGAAAGTATAGACATCTTGAACAATGTGAAAGTATGGATGCCTAGAACAATGTGAAAGTATAGACACC